AAAAAAAAAAAAAAAAGAAAAAAAAGAAAAAGCAAACAAACGCCACTGTTGCTAAGTTTTGCACTTTATACCCTTTTATATTTACAATCCTCTCCTGGCTAAAAATAGCAACACATGATCCATTTATAACTGGCCGGACATGCCCCGGAGCCGCTGGCGGGGCCCTGGCTGATGAAAGGAGCTCTTTGCGTTCCTTCTACCTGAGCTCATCTCCCGCTTAAAGGGCTCAGACAGCTCTGCTTCCACAAAGCACGCATTGAAATGACTGCTGCTTCCAGGGGAGATCAGGATAAGGGACGGGAAAAAAAAACAAGAAAAATTAAAACAAGACAGTAACCCACGCAGGCTGCCCCATGCCCTTCTTGGCACACTGGAAAAACGTACAATTAGGGAGGCAGCAGGGAAACAGCAGAGGTGGTCCAGGCCTGGCAGGCAGCCCCAGCACGGGGCAGGGCCTCAGCGGGCATACAGCAAAGGGGGGCTCCAGAGGCAGCTCCAGCTTGGCTCCATATGGGATCAACACATGAACTCACTCTAAAGGAGCGGCGGGAGCAAGTGCGGACCCGGACCTGGGGGCAGGTCTGGAGGCTGCTCTGGAAATGACTTTAGACTTGCACTCAGACGTGGATGCTGGAAATGAACTCTAGATGTGGCTGTAGAGGTGGCTCTAGAAATGATGCTGGAAACAGCCCCTGGTTTGACTCCAGACAACTCTGCATGTGGGTCTTGGGTTTGGGGGTGGAGAGGGGCTGGAGCCAGCTCGAGGGCGATGCTAGTGTCAGCTCTAGGAGTTGGGACTACAAGTGGCACCACAACTGGCAAAAACATAAATACACATTGTTATCTACAATAATTATTCATGCAGGAGATTTTAACAATGTGGGATTTATTCCTTCACTGTTACTAATGCCTTCTGAATTCGATGTTAAAAATTTCCATTAGCACCTGTGCAGGACTTAGAAACTGCCTGCGCAGCAGAAAGAGTTGCGGGACTAAAATGAAGTCCCGAGGGTGAGGCACAGCACGCGGTTCGGTGGAAGCTACACCTTCCCGTTCAGGGAAACCAGGTGCCACACTAATCCCACCTCCCGTCTAATACCAACGTGCTTCGGTGTTTTAAAATTTCCTGTCTTGGAAGCATGCGTTTCTTTGCTTTACCCTCTTGTTACTGAAACAAAGAATCCTGGTCAGAGGCAGGATGACAACTTGGGCATCACTGAGCAGCAGCAACAAAAAACTACACCACCAGCAAACAACAGTATTTTAGTGCAGTTTCTCGCAAATGCACAAATCCCAGCCACTTAAAAAGAAGGGGTCAAATCCTCCCAAAGTTATGAGACTTTAAAAGAAAATACACCTTCCAGTTATGAGTCTTTTGGGTACACTTGAAACGTTTCTCAGTGCTCTTAAGAGCTTGAAAATGTGGTTTGTTTGGACTGACAGCCAAAGTTCCGTGCCAGTGCCCCATGAATTGTAGCTGAGGAAAAAAGTAATAACCATGGTGTGACCCAGAGAAAAAATGATGTTGCCAACTGTTACGATCATTACCTACATTTATTCCTCCTAATAGCCCCATTTCAGTTGCTTTTCTGATATTCTTCTTGATTTTGGCTTCTTGGTGGG